CGGCCACGGTCCCCTCCTGAGTCAGAGCAAAGAACTGTTCATAGAAGTCTCCTCCCCCGTCGGCTCGGAAACGCTCTAATAAACAATCCTTGAACTCTCGCCAGGTCCTGATAGGCTCTCTTCTGTCTCTCCACTGATACCATGCCAGCGCCTTCCCCTCCAGACACAAACCTGCTGCCGTCAGTTTTTCGTCATCTGTCAACCCGTTGACAGCGAAATAACGCTCCACCTTATATATCCAGCCGTGGCCATCTTCACCCTCAAAGATGGGCATCTTCAACTTCCTCACCTTCGGATCCCTTCCGTTACCCCGGAACTCTCCATAACCTCCCATTCCTCGAAGAGGAGGTGCTCCCCAAGTGTCCCGATCCTCCCTCCGACGTTGGTAACCGAATTCTTCGTCATAATCTCCTCTTCCCCTTTCAAAATCAGCACCTCGACGCTGAAATTCAGCACCTCGACGCTGAAAATCAGCACCTCGACGCTGAAAATCAGCACCTCGACGCTGAAAATCAGCACCTCGACGCTGAAAATCAGCACCTCGACGATCATTCCCCATGCTCATCTCCTCTCTAGAGAGTGGCTCTAGAGGTGGCATGTCGTCATCTCCTTCAAGAATCTCCACTTCCGGATTCCTCCTCCCCCGGATTGGGTTCGGATTTCCTCCTACGCCATGGCCGTCAGTGGTCTCTCTCACTTCCGATGTGTCTGGATGGGTTTTCATCTCCAATAATTTCTTCATCATTTCTTCCATCGCCGCGAACCTCCCTTCCAACCTCTCATTGTTGGTAGAGATCTCCAAGAATTTCCCCTCCAGATCTGTCTTCAGTTGACCAAACTCGCCTTCTAAAACTTCCACCTTCTTCCCGGCCATCTTTCTTTTAACGGATCCACAAAAAACTTTTTCCGGAGACGACGATCTTGCTGAAATTTCAGAATTTCAGCCGCCGGTGGTCCCGAATCGGTGCTCTGATACCAATTTGATAGGAAACACTTGGATTTCCAAGTGTTTCACACCAATAACCAAGTAGATCTCGGATGAAAATTGCTGTCCACACAGGAAAACAGCCAAAAACAGTGGATTCGGAGAGAAAACGAAGGAGAAAACGTAAGAGAAACAAAGCAAACACTTTTATTTAATAAGAGATGAAAAGCACTTGCAAGATACAACTTTCCTTCGATTCGAGAGGAAGGAAAAACTCTCCAAATCTCTAGCCGTAGCCTAGAGCCCAAGAACACAAACCCTAGATCTCAAAAAAAAGATTCAAATGCAAGATAACCCCCTCTTCCCCCTATTCCTCCTAATTAAACATGAAAGGAGGATTACAATTTACCTAATTACCCTTCTCATTCAAAAATTCCCTCCCAAAACTCAAGATACAACAAGTGGGCCCCCCTAGGAGTTTCCGCCCAGCCCCTGGCTGGGTTTCTTCCGCCGGGCATAAGCCCTGACCGGTCCAGGGTGGACCGGTCCAGCCGGCCCAGGATGGGCCGGCGTAACACTTTGTTTCTTCATAAAGCTATCAAATTGATCGTAACCTCTATCTTGTTGATTGCTTTAAACAACAGAGGGACTTGCTCAATTTGTAAGGCCATCTCACACATCCGTCCAATTAGTTTCTTATCGTTTGGAAGTGAAACCAACTCTTAAGTTTGATTCTTGTAAAAGAGCATCTCATATTAACATCTAAGAAGTGTTCTAGAAGCTCAAAGTGCTTCTTATAAAAGAGACCATCTTTTACTCAATTGATAAATTTGTCTATCCCCTCTCTTTTATTTTTGTTATTTGCTCTTAAGTTTTATTTGCATATTATTTTGAATTTGCTAGGGTGGTTTGTCAGGATTAAATATCAATAGCTTAGGAAAAAGATTGTAAAGCTAAAAAAATTTTGGTAAAATCTTGAGTTAGTGAAACTTTAAAAGTTTTAGAAATCATAGCAAGGGGTTTGCTAGGATGTAGGGAGAAGCACTGGAAGATTCTTGCGTATTTTACTTATTTCACTTAACCCTCTCTTACATTTAAGGTTTAAGCCATATCTTCCTATCATTTGGTATCAGTGTAAGGTTCATTCATAATTTGTGGTTAAAGAGAGATCAACCTCTTTTTTATATGACTTGCTATTGTTGCGTCCTGGAATATTCGCGGCGGTAGAGAAATATATGATTTTACGTCTTAGCATTGTACGAAGATCCAGCACACAAGCAGATAAGTGAGAGGGTGTAGCATTCATAAGAGACACCATTTTTTGTATATATTTTTATACAGTCAACAAAATGTATGCATATTTTTCTTGAATCTCAAAATTTTCAGTTCTGGAGAATGATTTCTTCTACCTATAAAATATCAAAAAGTGGCCTAGACCAAAATATTAATGCGCACGCTAAATCATTAAATCATGAAATATTATTTGTGGATTATCAAAGCTTGAATAAAAGAGAATTTCAACTTGCAAATAAGCATATTTTTACTTTATTTCTTATAAACTCACACTATCAATATCTAATTTTTTTGGCAATTAGATATCATGGGAAGTTGACAAAACCTATTAACTTATTTATCTGATTTATTAACATCTTATAATAATTAAGTTTGAATAAACATTTGGCAGAAAAAATACATGGATGCCTTTGGCTTTTAGATGTTATGATAAATGTTATTACAAAGGCATGCATCTTTATTGAATTATTATTATATTAAACAACTCGCCTCATCCTGTTGAGGTTTATGCTCATAAAATTTTCAGTTATAAGGAGAATTACATAAAACTAAACAAAAGGGTTAATAAAACTGGTGGGAATAAATATAAATGGATAATGGATAGACAAAGTACCTTTTACAGAAAGATGAAATATACTTTGAGTATGTCTGTGCCTCTTGTTTATCTACAAACCACGTTTAATGTCTTTTAGAAATTCTCTCTCATAAAAGTTGCAAACAAAATTCTTACTAGAAAATAAACAATGAAAAATATATAATATTACCAACAGAAACATAAAAAGTTTTAAAATTTTATGTAAGCATTGGTGTGACATTAGCCCTGCCTAAGCCTAAAATAACACACCTATTTGATTGAAAACCTCATGATATCTTACTCCATACTGACTTTAACCAGTTGAGGGACCAAACTGAAAAGGAGGTAAATGTTGCTTCTGAATTGACAATAGATAAAATTCTGGGAGGAAAACGTTGATGAAAAAACAATTTTCTCACTTAAAATAAATCAAAGGAAGAGTTTAATTACGCCAAGCTTACAGCAACAGCTAATGCTCAATGAATGCAACATTTAATAGTAGATAGATCTACTATATCTTCAAATACTGGTATTTGATTACTGCCCTACCATAAAGATTAGAAGTGCTTATCAATAATTTTTGTGAAAGAGATGCTTTGGAATTCTGTGCTTGAAGGATTGTCATGTACTCCTATCGGCTAAGAATTTTCAAATATAGAAACTTTAAAAAGAGTATAATGCATCCACAAATAACAATTAATAGTTCATGATGTACGCAACTCATCTTGATCTGTTGATTTGAAGTTTTGGCTAACAAACAAGAGGTTTTGGATTCGAGTCTTATGTATGTGATGTGTGTGTGAATTTGCCTTAATTGACCTAAATTTCCTTAAAAAAAAGTTCATAATGTCATTAGAGTCCATGTCTCATGAAAAAAGGCTTGCATTGATATGCCACCAACAGAGAGTTGCTGTCCAGCACTTTCAACCCAATACTCGATATCAATAATTTAAACCCAATTTTCTTTCCTGAAGAAGAATGCATGTACTAGAGTGCTAATATAGTGTATAAGCAAAAGCTATAAAAATGAAGATTAGTTTTCTGAAATATACATTGCAGAAAGTGCATAACGATATAATTAAATTTTTACTGTATCTTCTCCCTTAAAGTGAAGAATGTTCTATAAATGACATACAATTCAAGCTAACATGATCAAGAAAAGGTGCGATAAGATAAATATCACCATCTTGGCAGAAAAGGTGTGTCATTGAATAAGTAAATCTTCTGAAGCTCTTACCTTTACCTGCTGGAAGATCGTTCCAGTCGTGTACTCTGACCCAGATCTCTTCACCTGTGTCCAACTGCAAAATGCCAACATCACATTTACTTAAATGTTGCTCATCATGAATAAGTTACTAGATTCCAATTTGGTGGCATTACTTTATACAAATCTAACTGCCAAGTTGGTATGGTTCATCATTTTGTAAATCAAACAGAAAATTCATGCATAAGAAATTCTCTCCTAGTTTGAAAAATAAAAATTCCCCAATTCATCATTTATTGGAACAGTACAAAAGGACTTTCAGGCCTAGTTTGATTGGGCATTTTTTGTGCTTATTCCTTTTTAAAACGGTAAAGTTATTTCTTCTTTAATGTTTGATTCCTCAAAACACGTTCCCAATAACTCCATTTTTTTTCATTTTTCTTCATTTTTCTGTTGTTTTGAGAAAGCTTTTTATATGTGCTTTCTCCGTTAGAAAACTCCTTTTTCTAAACCATTGTTTCTTAAAACTGCCTTTTACAAAAGTACTTAATAAAAAACGTTCCCAATAACTCCATTAGGGAAGTTTGGTCTTCCAGAAATAATGAAGTTTTTTAAAGGCTGTAGTTTTAGCTAAAATGGTTTATTATTTCTAATTCCATATTACAGTATAGAAAGTAAAAGAGTTAAAAAAGCACCTTAGAGAAAAGGGATAAAATGAAAACTTTTGAAAGATAATGATATACTGCCTCATCTTTAAATTAAAATTCCTGACATAACCAATCTACACAACTTTTTTGAGGGATTCCCTACAAGTGCTGGAGTGTTTACCTTAAATTACCAAATTGAGTACCATCTTTCAGGTGGCATTAGAAAAAGGAAATCACCGAGTCTTTGGATAATAAAAACGCTGTTGGCCCCTACATCAGAATGCGCGTAAAAGGGGAAAAAATCAGCGAATTAAGTAACGTGCACGTCTATGCGATGCATCATTTGAAGGGTCAAATGACCTTTGATCGTCAAACGGACTTCGCAGTTGCGATCGGAGCATGAAATTCGCCTAAGTAGGAACCCCTCTCAATCATATCAGATGAGATCAGTCCAAAAGGACGATCGACACCCGAAACTGATGCACGACGTTGCCCAAACAACGCTGATCGCAAAATGGACTGTGCCATTGTGTTCAGAACGTCGACAATACCCAAGAATAATTATAATTTTGCCCAACAAAATTCACTCGGAAAAATCGGCTTGAATCCCGACACAATGCACAAATCTCAAGAAAAGTCATGTGAATCGAGACAAAATTGGCATTTTAAGACCGTTATGTAATAATAATGTTATTATTAATATTATTATTGATAACAAAATAAAAATAATTATAAAAAAAAAATGCTAACCACCCCACCTATCCATTGGGGAGATGCTAGAAGGCTGTTGAAATTTCCCATGGACCGAGGACCTGGACTTAAACGAATGTAGGGGACCTAAGATTGAATAAATTAATGACGATGAACTGAACTTGAATTTGAACAAATATAGGGAACCAGACTTTAATTTGACAAATTCATGATAAAATTGAAAAATATGAAATACTAATTAATGATTTGAAGCATTTAAATAAATATCATGCAAGCAAATAGAAGACTCATGATGAACAAACTCTCAAGGCATATAAATGATGATCAATGAACTAAAGCATTCAAGTGATTACCAATTGATGAACATGAAACTCGTGGTGGATGGAATTTCCAATATTTGAAACATCTAGTAATTCATACACGAGCAAAATATAAGGGTAGCAATAAGAGTTGTGCAGCCAATACATGTGCGAAGAATGAAGCACATCCATAAGCAAGGAAAGAGGGGTATCATGAAGAAATATCCTACCCACTATCAACAACATGTTAATCAGCACAAATTCTCTTGTAAAATAACGACAATGGACGAATGGCGAGTATGACAGACCTATTACAAGGGTAAACAGAAAATCATCATGCATATCATGCTCTACTCACAAGTGGATGCAAGCATCCATGAATGATAATAAGGTGACTCACCATGCGCTTGGCGACTTACATGCAAATTGAAATACCAAACTCATGATGAATGTGGCTTGCCTATAAACGATGAAGGTTCTTGCAAACACAGTATGCAATATGTGATGGACGCTACAACATCCTTCCAATCAATGTCAGCTAATTTACAAGATCAATACATTGTCCCCTACGAACAGTTGACATGCAAAGAATATAGCAAACTGCAAACAGAACATATCTAAGGAAGTGGTAATGAAGATGGCTTACTTACAATTAATGCCAAGTAGCTTGTACCTAATGTCTATCAACCTGCAAGTATTGGCAACAGATATAGCCCAACTAGCAGGAAACATCAATCAGACCCCTAGCAAATGCATACGAACCTCTACGAGAAGTAGAATTTGACATGTTGTGAACACTACAACATCCCCTAAGCCAACGTCAGCTAGTTAGCAGATGAAATCTGTAGTCCTCTATGAATACTGAAGTCAACGTGTAGTGAACATAGTAAATTGCTTATGGATGTACATGAATGTTTGGCGATGAATGTAATTCAGCCAAAAATTAATGTCAAGAGTACAAATGCGCGTATCGACTTGCATGATGAAGAGTATGTAGCAAGTGTGACAGATCCTTTATAAACATATGCATACAACACATCATCTACAAGCGACGATAGAAGATCGTAGTAAATGCAAATACTTGCGAGCCCTTGTAGGAGACCAGCCATACGCACCAGATGCCATATACGAATAAAATGTCAAAGGAAAACAAGTGCAAGCTCCTACAAAGCCGTCGTATGAGACCTATCACGTACCCAAAGTGCTATCCTCGAGCAAATATAAAAAATCTCCAACAAGTGCAAGCTCCTATGAACCATAGCAGAAGACTCGTTAGCGCGACAGTCTACCTGTGTAAAATAACGGGCAAATAAACATGATGCGATGCCACGCCACTGGATCCACAACACTCACGCAAGTGGACAGAAGTCGTCTTTCAAATAGAGCATCACGCACATTCAAATGACTGTTGCCCGCACAATTGATCAGCATTAAACTTTTTAAAATACTCCCACACATACATTGCAACATGTATACACACAAATACAGAAGTATATATATAAGCGCCTTAATGCACTGATGAAAGTATAAATGTACATGTAAGTATGTAAGCATAATACAAGAAAATGCATGTGCAACCGTATACCCGCATGGGCTCCGACGAGCGTGCTATGAATACACACGTGACGTCTAAGGATGTTGCGCTGGTCAAATGATAAACCCAAGCTTGAGCCCAATCCTTTTATGCAAGTGGCAGAGGACCAGCCGACCAGCAATGGGTTGATGAACGAACAAGGAGAGCCTACGTAAGTAAATAAGTTTAAATATTTTTGATGTCATGTGTAAATTGCTTAATCTTGTATTAACTTTTATAGGACGAGTATACACGACTTCGAGAGAGCCAGCCATGAGCAGTAAGGGATCTTCTAGGGGATCAACAGATTATTCTAACTATCACACTTGGTCGCAAGTAGTAGGAGGAATTTAGAAATGTTGGGTTTATGGTTTAGGCTTGCAATCCAACACATATAAGATGCAGACATCTGGTGGCTCCAGCTTCTTAGCAAGTAACCAGGAGTCGTCGTATAACCAACAAGTAGCTGCCCTTATAGTCTAGCAAGAGCAAGTCAGGAAATCACAAACTGACATGCGATTTCCTGATTTGCAGATGCATATGCAGCAAACTCAGTTGTTGGATGAGCTATAGAAATTGATCTTTCGTCTGGTACCCTTACATCATCAACTTTTAATGTGTCTAATATCTTCACTTATCACCCATCAATGTGGGCAACATACAACTTATCTCCTCAAGTACGAGTTCTTCTGAAGAGATGGAGAACTGATGTAGACTATCCATACCTACGGCACACTTCAACATCTCTGTTTCCTCCACTACTTTATTTTCAGCTTTATTACCGTTTTATGCATTTTCAGTACACTATAGTTTTTTGGCCGTTGCTGCCAAAGTAGAGTAGTTCTCCGGTAGACTAGAATAGTATAAAGATGGTAATGCTGTATTAGAAGGCATATAGAACATTTATATTGCCTTTGGAGCTCTCTGTTTTCGGTTTTTCTTCCTGTTTTCATTTTTTCTTCTGCAACTTCCAAGCCACAGGTTCTGTGAAAGTACTTGGATAAGGGCATTGTCTGAGCGTAGTGCTGGGCTATTTGTAGGAAAGCTACAATCACTTTTACCTACCCATTAGCCTAATAGTTCATGGAATTTGAATAATTTTTTAGCTAATTAAATGGACTGAATAAAAGGATTTTCAAAACCAAAACAATTTTCTTGTCGGAATGGTAATAACTGATATTAAGGTTTCATTTGAGATAGCTTTCTTACTGTTTTTAAAGCAACTTTTTAATACAAAAAATTTTTAGTTAAAAAAAATTTTATACTAAAAAAAAGTTTTGAAAAGAAATAAAAAAAAATTGTCCCAAACGAAGCCTAAATCATCAATTTGAAAAGAAAAATAACTTTATATAATTTATCATTTTACCTTCTCTAGTGTGTGGTCTAGCATTTTCTCACAAAGACCATCCAGCAGTTCAACAACTGTTTGCGTGCCATTTCTGTAATATATTAAAGAACCAACAAATGTTAGTTTGAAAACAAAAGAAAAAATTGCAAAACAAATGGGAAATCAATCAGAACAGCTCATAGGAGCATCATAATGAGGGTGAAAATTAGACGCATGAACATATAAACTCAGAAAAATTATGTAATCCCATAAATTAATTGTCATCAGCATTATTAACAAACTGTCTAGATTATTTTCTATGATTCAGTTAGAAAGCCTATAAAATTTTTTTATGGAAAATAAAATCAAAGATAATATTTTTGGCAATCTCAATCTAGAATCACTACCAAGACAATAACTAAAATAATAAAATAGGCCATTTGCAGTTAGTACATCACAAATTGCACCAGATACATGAAAGATTGCACACGCTTTTAATACTTGGAAATATTCCCTGATTTGATTAGGACTACATTAAATGGCTGAAATCATACACCTTGATTTATGTGCAAAGCAATTACCTTAGGGCACCTGCAGGCATCAAAATGCCATTACCTATCTAGAAATGTGTCACGACCTTAGGGCACCTGCAGGCATCAAAATGCCATTACCTATCTAGAAATGTGTCACGTTCTTAGAATGCGTGCAAGGATGGTCGGAGATCTATATGAAGGGATGCTTCTCTAAGGTTTAGACATAATATCTCTCTCTGAATTCTCAAATGGTATACCCTCTCAACGGCTAGAGTTTCTGGGAGGATAACAGCTTTAGAATGTGCAGAGTAAAATATTATATAGAGATAATTTTATTTATGATATTATTCTTGAGAGGAATGTTTTTAAATTTTATTATGGGGCCGGAAGCTAAGAAAATTAATTTTAAGTTGATTAAATTTTGATCAATTATCAAGTGAGTTTCGATTTTCGAACAAAATTACAAACCTTATATGGAAGTTTAAAAAGATATGCGCTAGCAACTTCGATTTTCAATTATCAAGTGAGTTTTACTCAAACAAAATGATATGGCAGCAGCCGGGGGGGGGGGGGGGGGGGGGGGGGGGGGGGGGGGGGGGGGGGGATTTTGGCCCCGCTTGTGGGGCCCAACAAGAAATTAATTCATTATGTTTGGAGAGAAATTAAGGATCTGATCAATTAAGAAAAGATTTCCTAATTGAATTTAAATTAAAGAGAGAAAGATTTTCTAATTGAATGCAAATTAAAAAGGGAAATTTTTCCTAATTGAATTTAAATTAAAGAGGTAAATTAATAAGGAAACAAATCTGTTTTGGAGGCAATTTGAGAGTTTATTTAAGGAGGGGTCTAGGGTTTATATTGCTATAGTTATTTTTCTTTGAGGGCTTCCTAGAGGCATCTAGGTTGTTTGGGAGAGCCGATCTATCTCTCTAGTTGTAGATCGCTTGTATCTTGCTTTCATATTGAGTTATTAATAAAAAAATCAGCCATAATTCCTCAAATTCCTACAATTTTCTACTGTCTTCTTGCTGAATTTACTTCTACAGTGTATCACAAAATTTCTTGCCTTAGATGAAAGTTATAAAATACAGTATTATCATTTGCATTTTAGGTTATAACCATGTTATAATTATTTAATAACTACTTCATCTTACTACATACATTGCATAAGCAACTTGACTAGTTTGACTGAAGGGCATAAACAAATGCACATTTCCGGTTCTACATAGAGCACTTTCACATAGAATAACTGATTAAAAATGAATATCACCACATTGCTTAAAACGTAAGAGTCAATGGAGATGATAATTAAATTCAAAAAGCAAATATTTTTAAAAAGCACCTGTAATCAGTGTATTTCCCTTCAAGACGACTTATAGAATCCATTCCCTGATGAATATCAAGAAAGTTTTTAGATTTCTTCTCATTGAAAAAATGAAATAGCTAGATTAGCCCTACTTGGAGAGACTAATGGAAACACTTACATGGTACATAAAACAGAGAAGTTGTGCGTGTAGAACTTTGAAACAAAGGATTATGGAACATAATTATTAATGAGAAAACAAAACAAAGCAGAGAACCCTAGTTATGGCACATAATGTTAATTACAAGAGCCAAACAAGATCTGTTAATGCACTGGAAGATGCACCTGATACGCAGAATAAAAATTGATTAATTATTGCTGGTAATAAAGGCTTGGAGCTATGAGAAGAAGCTTGCAACATCCTCTATGGAAGTTGCTGGTGAAATAATCTCCCACGTAACTGCAGCTCAAAATTCGCATTATGTCCGCACCCTCCCATTTCGCAGCCCTTTCTCTCTCTCAAATCTCACTCACTCGTTGTAAATGTGCGGTGCCAAATTCCGAAGGGCAATGGGCAAAATCTCTCCCTCCCTCCCTCGAAACCCTCGAAACCGCTCATCAAAAACTTGCATATTGCCAAAATTAAGAGGACAATTCAAGTCTCTCTCACACAGTCTGTTTACCACTCTTGATCAACAACTCATCAAATTAGGGCAGGGCACGACAGCATAAAACCCATCACAATCTTCTCTAACAAAACAGGACTTTCACAACTCTAAACTAGCATTAAGTGGAACTAGAGACCAATAAACCAGTATGAGACTCATGAGAGGAACTTGCCTTAGTTTTTTTGGGGGGCAAACACAAACAACAACATCAAGCATTTATGCCACTACGCGAGATCAACTACATGAATCCTTTTTCTCCACTGTGTCCTATTAAAAATGAGAGGCAAACACATAAGAAAAAAACAATATATAAGGCAAAATTTAAAACAAATTCTTATATTGTGTTATAATTATTAAATAAAAAATTACATGCCTTGCATTCAATTTTATATATTTTGATAATGTTGTATTACAACTAATTAATGCATAAGCATTGATTGGTATTGTAATGATCGTACTTCAGTCTCTATTTTATTAGAAAAGAAATTGTGGTTCCATTGCTAATATATGAGATATATTATATTGTCTGATACAAATTTTAAAGATAAATGGCTTATGGATGCACTCTTAAGGAATTTTATAATACAATTATTTTTGGAATTATATGTAGCCCAACTGAAAGTTGTTAGAAAATCAGATTAAATAAATTGAAATCCGGTTTCAATTATTAAGAATCAGATTTCTTATAGTAAGCCAATTCAAATCATATTTTAATTTGTCAAGAAAATCCAATTTTTTAGAAGGGGCAATTGTCCTCCTGGGCACAAGACAGTTCCACCCTTGATGAGACTGGGAAATTTTGAAAGGAAACTAATGCATCTTTCTCACCTTTTGTGCCCCATCTTGACATCACTAAACATGAAGCAATTTGTACATCACAATACTAAAATTTTTATGTTAGTTTTGTAAGTTAAGCATCAAAGTGCACAACACAAGGTAACAACATTATGGGTCTCTAATAGAAACTTATGACATGTTTATTAAGAGATTGGAGAAAGATACTCTTGGCTTCAAAAAAGTAAACTATCACAAAAAAAAATGAGTCACAAACAGCAAGTCCAATTAAAATTTTTTCTACAGCCAATGCTTAAGGTCAGGACTATAGATCATGAAAAAGAGACTTTCAGTGTAGAATAATGTGTATCATTTGGTAAAAATATAAAAGGCAACTTATAACCAAAGCTTGAAATGAAGAAATAACTTTTGCAAGGATCTAAAGGAACTTAATGTTCCTCCAAGGACTTCAAGGAAGTTATGAACTAGAAATCATTCAATTAAATGTTTTACAATGTGAGAGAAACTTTCGCAGTATTAGATTTCTCAACTCCAATAGACTTATTGAATCCTCTCATTACTCCTAATTTCTAACTCTTGCAGCCAAAATATTACAGAACAGAAAAATAGTTGAAAAGTTTTCAAAGTTGCTTTGAAAGGGAAAGTAACTGCAAGTATCCACAGTCCGTTATGATTCAACAAATTGGTTTATGGGGCAATTTTTTGTAGAAACAATTGAAAGGAATATATATTTCCTTGAGAATATTATAACCCTTGGCCTTTTCCTTAGAATAGAAGAAATGTCGGATTGCCGCCTTGTCTGATGGTAAAATTATCAATAGAAGTACATAAAACAGGAAAGCAAAAACAAATTGAAACACAACTAAGGCTTCACTTTTCTTTAAATCATATTCTCCATAATTTATTGACATTTTTACTCTACTTCATATTTTCAAACGATAGCATATACGCTGGGAATTTCTCTACATCTAGTCCTAGTTAGTTTTACATGCTATCATGGGCTCAGTAGGAACAATCATTTAATGAGAAACTAAACTTTGAAAGATAACAGCATTTATTTTTATCAGATAAAAAGAGAGAATAGAAACTACATGCTCATATATGTAATTAGAAACTGAAAAAAAAATACAAGAAATCTAGGCAAACGTCAAAGGAAGTTACAAAAATCTGGCTATGATTTTGGTTTAGGCCTTCTATCAGAAATTTTTGTTTTGGTAATTCCGATAGTCTCAGTATTTTGAAGCCTGCAGTTTTGTTTGGTTTTGATTGTAATTTTCAATATGTTGTACTCAAAATTTCAAACTATACAATTAAAAATATCAAATAATCAGAAACTTTAGCTTAAATCTACATTTTTAATCAATAAATTAACTTTGCATGAAATATATCTGTGACATATAAGATGATGTACAAAATTATGAGCATGTGCCATGTACTTTGTAGTAATGATGTATGATATTTTTGAGACCGCCTCATCCATCGCATAAATCAACTCATTCGACATTTAATAAATGCAAAAATAATTTATTTCGAAGGTATCAAGTTTTTTTTTTTAATCATAAACAAAAAACTAAATTAAAAATAAAAAATAAAATTGATCTTAAACGACCATTTAGGAATCAAGAAGTGGAGTATAACAATCAAGCACAACAAAAGAAGAAAATTGAAAAGAAATTATTTGTACTTGATTTCAAGTAATTTAGAAGGTCCAAGAATTTTCATTGAGAAAAAAAACATAACATGCTAAAAGTAGACCTTACATTAAAATACTCGATCTCTATCTCGTCCTGCATGTGATTAAAAAATAATAATTAGATTCCAAATATGCAAAAAAAAAAAAACAATGTTACACTTTATTTGAAAAATAGCGAAGACAAGCATAATGAAAGAGCCTGAGATTACATCATGGATTTGCGATCAATATTTAATAACGTGCAATTTGTAAGAATTCATTCATTTAACACAAATTGAAAGGAATTAGGCCCACAAAAATCTCCTACCAACTAAAACAAGAATGACAGAAAACAATATTTACAATAACAAATACCCAAACTCTGCTATGAATTAGCAATAACCATATAGCATAATGCACACAACAATAATAACAATGAGTACGTTCATTATGATTGCGAGTAAAAAAATTGAGAAACTTTACAACAAAAGGCAATAGAACTGATTTTAAGGCTTGAGACATTCATGAAAACATTAAGTACCCACATAGATGGATACATACATTTGTATGTGTTGTGGATAACACATAATACAATCAAACGTGCATAATACATGCATACACACTACATGAAAATCGATCATTATCAACGAATTTTTTAAGCAGAATATTTTTCGTCAGAATTTATGGCGGATTTTTGAAGGATTTTGATGAAATATAACCGACATATTTTTTTCGTCGGTTTTTCCGACAGATTTATTTCCTTTTTTTTTGCCAGACAGCCGCCAGAAAATTTTTCCAACGGAAAAATTCCGCCGAAAAATTTTTCCGGAGATTTTTTTTTTATTTTTGACAGAAACTCTCTTTTCGACGAGGGTTTTACCGTCGAAAAAAAATTCTGCCATAAACAACCAAATCCGCCAGAAAATTACTCAATTTCCACCGAAAATTCGCCGATAATAAGAGATTTTCCTGTAGTGACACTTGACATGCTCAGTTGCACACCTAATGTATTCTTACATTATAAATGCATGCAATCATGCACACACAAACATGGACACATACATGATAACTAAATAACCAGCTTCTTCCTTCCTACCTCCCTCATCATAAAGACAAAACTTAAGAAACTCAGCAATAGCAACTTTCATCGATGTTGAACCTATTAACCAAAAAAATAGTTCTAAAAGGTTGTCAGATTAGATCCAAATCTCCATGGTGAAATAAATATTGGTTTAACACAAAAAGTTGGCAAAATGTAGGAAATCTACGTCACATTACAAAAGATGCCCGACTCCCATCCAAAAAAAGAATGATCTTTCCAGCATTAACAATATAAGAATGAAAAAATGGCTGATTTTGGAAGAACATGAACCGCCATTACAAAAGCAATTAGAGCAAACGAGAAAGAGATATACCGCAATCGCGTTGCAAGCGGAGCATTCATCTTCCACGCTATAAACCAAGGAGAGGTTTGCAAGAATGAGCGCAACAAAAAGCACTGATCTAGGGTTCTTCCCCTTTCTCTTCCACTCCATCCCCGCCATCTCGCCGGCTAACTTTCTGTTAAAATGCTCGTGAAGAGTTCGGGTTTGGGTTTTATAGACGGGTTACGAGTAAGGCACTGCCCGCCAAGCACGGAATAATAAATAAATACGATAAAAGCCGGACAGAACGATCGTCAGCGGCTCCACCTCTATGCCTTTTGCTCGGCCGTACGCGTGGATACATCGATTGTTCTATAGAAATTCTTAGTGAGAATTGATAATAACCATCCCTTCGCATATTTTTTGTATTATTTTTATATAACAAATAACTCATAAATAAAATATAATAATTTAGTTAATTTGTTAGTACTCTATAATCATTTTATATGTCACATATAATTTCAATCATTTAAGTACACTATTGATACATCCTCAAATAATTATCTTGATCGGGCACGAATCTTGAGAAAAAATCAAGTGAAACTTCCGAAATTAAAATTAAAACCATACGAACTTCGATTTCAGCAAACTTATAGTCGAACTGAGCGTCTCGGAAATACGACACCAAAATCGACTCAATCTGAGTCCAAATGGATCCAAATCAAGGGTCTGCAACGCTGTTGGAGGGTTCGAACCACAATTTGTATTACCAACCGATTTTCAAACATGACGTGCTTATAGTCGAATCGAGTGGCTCGACAAGAAGAATCCAACGAGCCCAAGATCACTGAATTCCAACATCACTAAGGCATACAAATGTCCATCAAACGGTCCACAATCAAGGGATTCAACATCGGTCGTCTTCCAAGCCACTCCCAATATGCCTTTGATCTACCACCTATTTATAGGTCATGCCACTTTAGATATCTATAAATAGATCTCTCCTTCCTCTTGAAAGTGGGGCTCCAAGCAGACATGTCAATATTAGACCCGACCCGAAAACCTGACCTGAAAATTTCGGGTTTGGGTTGACCCGATCCTGAAGTGGGTCGGGTTAAGGTCCTAATGTGATGCCCCAGAATCAAATAGTGAAAGGATTCGTCTGACATTCTGATCGAACTCCATTCCAGTTGCTTTGCTCGGACCTGAAAATTTAAACCACATATAATGAGCTTACAAAGCCCAGCAGGTCACCAAAGCCTACAACTGAAATCAAAGCACGGCAATGCTATCAATATGCAGGTCAATA